ATTCACGGCCAGAACTCGTCGAGCGGATGGAAAAACCAGTGGGGGACTTATTCTGTGCAGATATCCCAGTTGCTGTCTCATGGAGCACTGTTCACTAGGAGGGCCAGGAGCTGTCCCAGGCCATGCATGAGGTGTTTAATCCGCTGTTTCATAGAGTAGAAACTGCACCAAGGTCTTTATGCTCAGGTATGCCGGCGTTAAATTGCCTAAGACCGTGTGGACGGGTGCGCGCTCAAGGCCGCCAGTCAGCTTGGATGTTAGGTCAGTGCGGCTGGCAGTTCAGGACATGTAGGATAGCGTGCCGTGACGTCGTAACAGGAGACAATATTAACGCAGCAGGACGTGGAGGCCAGGACCGACACAAACTTCAGTGGTACTGCGGTAGCGATCAGGTACACATTGGTATTACCCTGTGGAGTTCTGTACATGCTACGACTACCTCGCCAGCCCTTAGTGGTATAATCTAGACGAGCTTATCAACCTTTAGTCAGGGCAACTACCGTCCAGTTATTCGGGGGGGGGGAGGGGGAGCGAGGAACCTTGTTGACCGATCGTGCCTGTGCTTTGTTTCCCGGATTTGTATCCCAGACCGCACCTCCAGCTAATACCAATATAAACTGTCATGAACTCAACTTGTCATCGGAGTACCCGCTGACTCGGAGAGCTCAACAAGATGCTGCGCTGATCCGATGGCTGGATCGGTCGGGATGTCATCAGCCTTGGTCGAGGACGATTTTAATGTAGCCAAAAGGGGACACAGGTCAACGTGGTGAGAGCTGACCTCGTGCACATACCTGATTCTGTGGGCCTGGGGTGTTAACTGACTTCGCATTGGGGTTTGCCGTCGGCTGGAATGGAGGACGATCATTCATGCATCCTGGAGCCAACTGAATTAGTCACGATGGATGCCGTCAGAAGTAAAGCCACTGCATTAATATTTTCTTATCGTGATTTCAGGGCGTATTTACATGATCTTTATTGTTTAAATGTCAGAAAATACCAACGAAGTTGGATCGAAACTCGTGAGAAAATTAGCAAAATTCGATAGAATGTCTGGCTGTAAATAGGGAAAGTGGGAATTGATATTTAGTTAGCTGACGACAAAGGAATCTAAGGTTAAGAGAATGAAACTGAGTTGACCGACACCTGGGCACTAAACGTTCCTCTCTTAAAACGCTACAAACTCGAAAAAAAAACAGTTGGCTTATTAACCACGATGACCGGGGCCAGCGAGTTCACAGTCAGCAGACAGTGCAATCGGTTTCAACAGAAGTGAACTGCAAAATACGCAGACTCTCGGATCCGACGAATAAATAATGGCCACCCATGATGTGAATGTGCTTCTAGGCGTGACTGCGCACCGGTGTGGAAATTTGGTCACCTATGAGGCTATACGTCAAAGTGATAGTACGACATCGAGAATATTTCGTACCATTCGGTAAGCTGCCTACCGCCGTCGTCCTACAGATAGGAAACCAATCCATAGATCGGACGGGAGTGGGGATCTCATGTGTTCCATATACCGACCCACCTTAGCGTTTTGGCTAAACCGACAGTGATGACAGTCATACAAATCAAAGTAAGCAAGCCTCTTTAAATGTTCGCTTTATACATTTATATAGAAAAAAATGAAGGTAAAAATGCGTAATCAGGTGGTATCCATCTGAGCGTTGTGGGAATCTACAACAGTTTGAGCATTCGTCAATTCGTTGTTCTGTCCAAGCAGATCGGTTGTAGAATTGTCCTCTTGAAAGGAAAAAAATGCAGTGTTTTGCGGTACAAGCAATGGGCATTTAACAAGAGAACGGAAGTGTAAGGCTGTGCGTCTAGTGAATTGGTGCCTTTTCCTAAAATTCTACTGCGATTTGCAGAGCACATTGCCCATAGAACGGATCGAAAGCTTGAGCTCGAGATGGGAGCTCATGACATGGCAAACACGACATTCATAGGCGACTTGGCATTAGATCGCAGGAACTGTCGAAATTTTTGAAGGAACCGTTGGACTAAGAGGGCAGATAATTTGACTTGTCTTGGAAGACGCCATTTTCTACGGCATGAGAAATTCTGTCATGCAATGAGGACCTTCTAAACAATGCTGGAATTCGAAGTACTTACAACTTCCACATTGTCCGCCGGTCATATTTTGAGTAGATAACGCGCATTCAAGCTCCTGATGGCGCTGGACGGGCTGTTCAACAAATAATCTAGGTAGCATATAGAGAACACCACCTGCAAACTATCACAAACACCCATTCTACCATTGAGCAGCATTGCCGATAGCGTTCTTGGCTCCTTTCCGAGTTTACAGATGATGGTACGCCAACCAAGATTGGATGCACTAACTGAGGGACACGTAAGCAGTGTTCGAAGTAATTTGGACTAGTGCACGTGTGCGAACAGCTCCTAAAGTTCTTCCGCTGTTTGATGGTGTTTGCGACAGCGCGGCGAACTCGACTGACCCATGCATATGCCATCGACAATGCCTGCTTGGCTGTCTCAGAGAAAGGTCAACACAATGGCCACCCTAGCATGATGTCAAGGACAAACACTAAATACCGCCACAAAATAAATTTACAACTTTCAATATAAATTAACACTCTTGCAAAGTAGACAAAAGAAGAAGGGAAAGTCACAACACTCACGATCGACCAATTTCTGCAGACCTCGTAGAGCGACCAAGAAGAGATGGAATTGTTTTTTCCGCAAAAGTATCATCTCATCATACCTTTCATTTATACGCTGGAGACCAGTTAGTTGCTCTTTCAGCTTCGCTATTTTGCTATTTTTTTAAAAAATACGCAAATTCAGAGGTTCAAAAATAGGTAATTGCTTTTAATTACGCAAAAGAACATAGAAATAACTTAGAAAAGTGAAGACAAACAGGGTAAGGGAGCATGATATAGAAAACGAGCATAGACAGTGTTTAATGAGTACCGCGCAAGGGGGCAAACACCGGAAGATGAATCATGGAGTTCAAAAGCGGCAATAAAAACGTTTACTTCAGCTTACTGGGAATAGTGAACAGAGGCTGCCTAAGCTAAACATCACCTACTATGAAAGCGAGCATATCACAGCTTCACCATCTGCTGAACAAAATGAGGCAGATATCAAATATTCTCTTCCAGGCATACACCCTTCAGACAAAAAGCGTGGTGAGAGGAGGGCTGAAGTCCACAGGAAGGGAAGCAGATTTGGCCGGCAATAACAAACCGTTGGTCACGTCTTTAATTTTGGCATCAGTTTATGTATTAGTTAACGCAGTCTATCCCCCCTTCCATTTCTAGCGGATGCAGAGAAATCGAATCACTCTTTTTAAAAACTAGGTCTAATGATGACTCAAAAGTGGGAAAGGCATATAGGTAAGGAAAAGGAGTTCGTACCATAAAGTTTCCTTTCTATTGGGGTGCTCGTTGATTATTTTAGCGAGAATGTGGTACTCTGAAATAAAAGTTAGGCAGATAATTACCTCAATTACCTTGGCGATTCTTCCTAATAACTTTTGCTTCCTTCAGTTTTTCTCTGGATTCTAGTATCTTCAATTTTGTATCTTCTGTCGCGTGTTCTGGACGGGAGAAGTTAAGAAACTAGCAAAGTTACTGATCTCTTCAAGTAGTTCGTCATATTTTTGAGACTGCTCAAAATTCATTGACTGGATTAAGAGGGCTTGTTCCATAGCGTTTTCGCACTGGGACACGCTAGCCATCAAGGAATTATATGTGAATTGACTAAAGGATACAAGCCCTAATTTTAGACATACCTATCCTCCTCCGACTCGTCACATGAGACCCAGCGCAAAAAGTTTTTAAGCAAAAGAGTAAAACGTCGGTCGTCATTCCCACTCTCGCCCTCAATCAAAAGTCTCCTCTTTATGATATCATCTGAAACGATCAGCGTGTAAAAAGTTACGAACCGTCGGAAACGGTGCCCATTGATAACGTCACCCACAGAAATAACAAACCCACTACGACGAAAGTATGAGCAATCCGTCAACTATGAATGACAGCAGAGAATCCTAGAGATCGTTAGAATACCAGGACCAAAACACCGAATATGCTTTAGCCTCTGGTCTTGTTTTTTCCGTCGGGGTTTCAGTCTAGTTAAACCTAAGTGGGACTTTTTCCACTTGTGTGTACGTCTCCCCATGCAGTCTAGATTTACTTATTTGTTCTTCTTTTGTTTTCGCATCTTTTTGAGGTCCATGTTATAGCGCTTCCTGTCGGCTTCTCCATGAATGTCTGATTTTGGTCTTCTTTAATGTCGACGTCAAGAAGGCCTCCAATAGTGCGCCTCATAATCGCCCTCTGTAAAAACCCTTCCATGAAGTCATATGGTATAAACTCCTGTTGTTAGTTCGGAGTTTTTTTTAGTCAGTTACTCTCAAAGTGTCCATGTCATTGAACTGCAGTCTTTGGAGGTTGTCGATAAGAGTGCTGTTCCCCACGGCTCCGCTTATGACCCTTATTTACGTGAACGACTGCGTCAATAGGCTGGATTGAATTGTCGTAAGGATCGTTGATGGCATTAAGATCCGGAGTATCAAGCAAAAGGAAGTTGTCGAAGAGCGACTGCGGGCAAACCCAAACCGAAGACTTGTTTTTGCCGTTTAACGTGAGCAATTGAAACTTTCTAAGAGACGGCAGAACCAGATATTCGTGTCGCATGGCCTATCGCCTGACCGATGTACCGTTGCAAGAAGTGAGCGCCTAAAAGTACTTGAGCGCGTGGATCAGGAATTCGTTCAAACGTTCGTTGTACCGCTCAAAGTCCGCTGTGTCAGTCCTTTACCTCGGCAAACAGGTGTTATCTTCCTTCAATGAAGACCATTTCACATTTGGAGTTTGCAATCCAAGGATGGAGACCCTGGACCGCTAAGACCCCAGAATACTCTGGGGAATTTAATGTCGTGCAACCAAACTTGTTACTAGACAGGGCTCACTACTCTACCAAACTTGATCAGTCAATCTCGATCTCTTTCCTTTGAGATACAGGCGGCTACAGGGTGACCTCATACAAATGCTCTGCATTGCGCGCAGTCAAGAACACTATCTCGTATCTGAGGACCTCTTTGGGTCAGCAATTACGACTGACCTGCGGGCCATCCACCAAAGGTACGTGCGACAGGTGCAGGCTGGACACACGGGAGTTCCTCTTCTCCAACAGCGTGTTTGAAACCTGGAATGCTCTGCCTAAGCATGTTGTTGTGTTAGCACTCGTAAAGGCTTTTAAGAAGAAACGGAGCCAGTACTGCGTTACGCACCGCAATGCCACTCGACTGCTGTCGTCTGGATGCCTTATGCTAACAATTCCGTACTTTTTTAATATTATCGCGAATCGCTGAGTAAAGTTTGTACGTACGGTTAATTAATGTGTGAACCTCGGCGTGCATCCCTACTGACATTTGCCATGACGATTGCAGACCACAGATCACAGTGCCTCTCTGTAGCATAGGCGTGTTTCAAGTAACTACTGTACTACGCAACTACGAGCGCGCATATCCATTCAAATACTGACAGCGCATGGAATGCTCCTTCCATCTGTACAGTTTTTGATATTTCGTTTGCTGATATTAGTGTTAGCCCCGTTCCAAATTCTCGACAAACTTCCGCTGCGCACAACAGAAAGGGAGTTCAAATGTCCACAACACCACTTCCGAGACAGACGTCTTACTAATTATAGCCATTCGAGTGACATTCCGCAGGCATTCCCTTCTGGCAGGTCCTCCTCGGGCAAGTAAACGTAATCCTCCTTTTATACTGCTCTGGGACGCGCGAATGTATTCCTCCTGCATTCTCTCCAGGGCTGTTCAGCCATGACCAATCAACAAAGAAGGCCGATGCGGTAAGACAGTTTCAGTATGCGACTATAGTTTCTAAATATCATCCTGACAATGTTTTTTTCAGGCCTACTATATGCCCATACATATAATACTAATAATAATTGTATTTAATGCCAGTTAACAGACATTGTCAAGGAGAGATTAAGCCCAAATCCGGCCAGCGGTGAAAAAAATTCCTGATAAGTAAATAAAGAGGATGCGGTTTTTTATAGTTTGGACGGTTCAGGAGAGAAAAACTGCTGCCCATGAAATGACGACGGTCAGGATAGGGAGGGGTTGCCCTGCATCGGATATTATCAGTCACCATTTCTTTTCATGAAGTTGGGACTGGACCAAACAGAAGCACTGAAGAACATTTGTCGTTGTTAGCTAAAGAAATTTTCCGTGGTGAGACCGGCCATGGGGATCAAAGACCACGAACGCCATCGCGACGGTGTATTCGATCGGTGTATTCAGTTTCAGTTTGTTTGAGGGAAATATAGGTGTTGAACCTTTGAACTCCCTATTTGTTACAAGGAAAATGGAAACATCAAACAACTACAGAGTTTCTTCAGATTGGAAAAGTTTTCGAAACCAGACAGATAAACGAATTGTTCTAAGTGTTAAAACATTAACGTTACTAAATGTGCTGTACAGTAGTCTGTCTATGGATAATTGGTGCTACTTCGTTTTCTGAGGGAGACGAATTGAATGCCAACACTCACATTCAACAGACATGGGAAAACAGTAAAAAACAAAGCGTTGCTGAAATACAGGCAGTAATATAGAAACAGTAATAAGCTGTTCGAACGAAATGTTAAGACGATTTCGGTCAGGTGACATTATGACGTTTAGTGGTACACTGGTGCAACTGGCGCTTAAAAGTCTCGACGGAGGTGGACATGACGACAGCTGCAGGCAGAGCATCCCAGGCCTCGATCACTCTGTTTGTAAAGAAGAACTTCCGAATATCCAGCCTGGTGCCAGCCGCACGTAGTTTTAGTGGATGACCTCGGAGGTTTGTTGTGGTTGATAACTCAAAGAAATCTGCAGGTAGGAGACAGCAGTCCTGGCCGCGCATTATGGGAATGCTTGTATCAGGTCGCCTCTTAGCTGTCTGTAACTCAGTGGGAAAAGACCGAGATTGGATAGTCGTGTTTCATAGGGTAGTAAACCCTGTCCACTTACGAGTTTGGTTGTCCGCCTTTAAACCTTCTCAAGGGTGCTGAGATCTTTAGAGGTCCAAGGTTTCCAGGTCTGAATAGTGAACACTAGCTGTGGCCGTACAAACGTCCGAAAGACTTTAATGAAGCCGTCCACATCCAAGGTAGAGAAAGATCTCTTGACGAGGTAAAGGACTGACATTGCGGACTTGGCTACCTTGGAGCAGTGGAGCGACGGTTTTAGATTAGCCGTTACTCACACAACCCAAGTCTTTCTGGGCATCTACATCCTGCAATGGTACGCCATTTAGGTGGCCAAGGTTGGATACCAGTGTCGCAACACTCCGATTCGCCGCGAATTTGAGTGTTGCGAAATAAAAAATAAATGCTTACTGAATGAATTAAGTAGGTATAGTATTTTAAATTTTAGGCGGCTTCAGCTTTTCCTGTCGGGCGTGCGTGCGTATTTCTTCCAAAGTATTGCTTGTGTTTGTGCGCAGTACTATCACTTACCTTAATTTCTGATTCTACTATCCCCTGCAGAGGTTATCTATTTAGTTATGTATTTACGGTATTGTTAATCACTTTCTGTTGCTAGGATTTAGCTCATTATTAAAACTTTCATAGCCATTGCCGTTACAGATGCCAGTATTATTGCAGTTAGTTACCTATACTGTAAGCGTTGGTCGAGTAGCATTGGCAGCCGTGGTGGCGGTGGTAGTAGTAGTTGTAGTACTAATAGTAGGAGTATAAGTAGTATTCGCCGTATCAGTGGCGGTAGTGGTTGTTGTTGTTGACGTCGTTGTTGTGCTGACAGCAGTATTAATTATGACAGTATTAGTAGTTGTGGTAATATTATAATTTGTAGTAGTAATATTAGTAGTGGTTGTAGTCTACGAGAACTGGTGGTAGTCTACGGGAACTGCTTTCGTGTTCGTATGAGCATTAACAGTAAGGTCCGAGGCGATGATTTTTTTCACCAGCACTTGTGCTGTATGCCGAGAGTGGTACGCGACATAGTAGGAAGAAATTTCGTAGTATTCACAAATTACGCATTCCCCTGCGATATGTTGCAACTCCCATTTCATACTAGAAACATTTCGAGTCAGAGAGATCGTAAAAGTAGTTTGTTACGTTCCGTCAGCTCTGTTGGTACCTACAGTAGTACGCCATACCGGTCCAGCGTGGACAAGTAATTTTCCCATATGCGTATAAGTCCAACAATGCTACTAAATAAATTAAATAAATAAATTTTTATTTAATGCCAGTTTACAGGCATTGTCAAGGGAAGCGATTAAACATAAATCCGACCAGCAGTGAAAAAAACTCCTGAGCTAAAGGGATAAAAATATAGTTGATGGTGGTTTTTATGGTTTGGAGGGCTCAGGAGAAAAAACTGCCGACGGTGGTAGAATATCGACCATCAAGAAGGGGGGGAGGTAGCACGGTATCGGAGATTATCGGACGTCAAATTCCTTTCATGAAGCTGGGGAAAGCCAAAGCAGAGGCGTTGAGGAACAGCTGGTGAGACCGGCCATAGTGTTCAGAGACCACAAACGCCATCGCTACGGTACAGTCGATCAGAGTTTTCCGCACCCAAAATTTGTGGGAGCTTTCCTGAATGCAAAATTCGAGTAATAGTTCTCTTAAATAAAGGATAATTTTGCAGAGTTTTCACACTCATGGGTAGTTTATTCCAAATAGCAATTGCATGTACAGAAACGAACCGACGATATTTAACAGTACGTGCCAAAGGCAAAAATAAAAAGACCTCACGGTGACTGTTACGTCGTGGGTGGATATGATGTCTTAAAGAAGTGAGTGTGTTAAATGTGTGATTATATAAGAGTTAAAATAGCAAAAAAGGGTCCCTTTTGTAATCAACGGAACCATAAAGGATCGAGGCCTGTAAGCCGGCAACGTTCTCGGTAAGACAAATGTCGATGATCCA